GAAATCTTAAAAAAAAATTATCAACCTTTTATTATATGGATTTTTTGGCAAAGCTATAATTTGTGTCTTTTGTGAGACCTGTCATATGATTCTCCAAATATTATTAAATCTTTGTAATTGACTTATAAATTTAAAATGCGCATATATAGATGCATAATTATAATATATGTAACATATACAAATACATATATAATGTACACACACTCATTCTATGCTCCACTTATAATTGCATTATTATATTTGCTTGTATAAAACATACATGTATAATTATATATATATTTTATGTATATATATATATATATATATATAATATGCACAGTCATCTCTGAAAATTCTATGCTCCACTTAAAACTGCATTATTATATTTGCTTAGGCTATGAACATGATGTATCAAAAATAATTTGTATTGATAGCTATTAATTTGACACATTTTCAATTGTGCCACTAAAAGCATTACTTTCTATGTTTCATCCTATGACTGTGAAATATGTTTTTGATAGTTGAAAAATATTTTATAGCAGTTTTTAAATATAAACTGCAAATTGGTTATTGGATTATAGGGCAAAACTGCATCCACAGACTTTAGCAGTGTATCTATTTACTAGACGTTGAATGAGTTTTCTTAGCAATGTTCTGTCAAGTCTTTACCCAGTAAGATTTTATTGACAGCACAGCTCTGCATAGCCAGGGGAGCAGCTTGAATGGCTTCATAATGCCTGATGTGATACCTGAGTGTTGTCTCTGTGAGCTCAGCTCTACGACTTTATGGAGGTCTTGAGCATCAAGACTCCTCCAGTCCCAACTGATCATGTAACATCTAGGAGGATGCTTAACTTCCTGATCTTGTTTCATGCTACAGTATTCAATCAGACAGAAGAGAATTTATTAGTGTAGATTTAGAAGTTGAACACAAAATGCTAAACATTGAGTTTTGGATATAACCATCTTTTGAACTATTTCCCTTGAAACCAAACTGGTTGCAAATGATTATAGCAGTGGGAAAATATTTCCTGTATCATAAATATAGTGTTTCTGCTCTCTAATTTCTTTCCTAAATTCACACTTTATAGTTATAAAAAAGAAATTTATTCATACATTTATTATTTTTACTTTAGCAAAATATTAAAAGATATGAGAGTACAGACATATAGGAGCATAAGCTAAATCATGGTAAATCCATACCAAATTGTATATGTAGATTTTAAATAGTTTGAAAAGTAATTGCATGATTGTAAACTACACTTACTAAAATGTTACTTGAAAAATGTGCATATAAAACTGAATCTATAATAGCCTCTTAATATTATAAATCATTTGAGGAGAAACTGTTATTGGTAGAATTTTTCTGTTGTAGGATATTTTGATTCATTTTTCTTTTTTGATTTTTGGTTTTTCTCTGGTACTGGGAATCGAACTCATGATCTCGTGCTTGC